CATCAAAACAACCATCAACATCAACCGTGAGAACCGATCAACAAAAGATGCAGTCTTTTCTGTGGTCCACATTGCGCTCAACCACCTGGAGCAGGACTCCTACGTCCATATGTTCTTTGTGGACTTCACATCTACCTTCAACACCATGATCCCCCAAACCCTGATGGACAAACTATTCACACTAGGACTAAGTCCCTCCATTTGTAACTGGGTACTAGACTTCTTAACAAACAGACCTCGGTCATGCATTCATTCAACCTTTATTTAAACAGGTAAATCCCATTGAGCCTCGAGGACTCATTTACAAGAGAGACCTGATTTCAACAAAGAATGATGACAACAATAGACAGTTATAAAAAAGGCATACAGATTTTATTTTATTTGCTTACAAATAGGATGGCTAAAAAAAGAAAAGTAATATAAAAACAGCTAGATTCTAAGGTGAATGTAGAAAACTAAAAACAGGAACATGTCTGCATTGGTCCCTGCCAGGAGTCCAACAGATTCTTAAAGCCACTTAGAGAGGTCAAAGGTCGAGAGCTTCAGATTTTTTTGTAAGATATTCCAGGAAACAGGAGCGGAGTAGGAGAAGGTCCTTTTGTCTAGTTCAGTCCTCACTGAGGGAACACTGCAGGTAATAATGTCCTGAGAGCGCACGCTGTAGCTGCACTCACGCAGAGAAATGTAGGAGGAGATTTATGAAGGCAGCAGACCAAGAAGTGATTTAAAGATGAAAATGTACCAGTGAGAGAGTGTGTGAAGTTAATGATGTCCAGTTAACCAGTGAATACTGGGTGCAGTGGTGGGTACGATAATCACAGCCAGTTATGAATCGTAGTGCACCATGATAGACAGCATCCAACATCTGCAGCATCCAACATCTGCAGCATCCAACATCTGCAGGGTTCTTGTAGGAGCGTTCATGTAAATAATGTCATCGTAATCAACGGAGGGAAGGAAAGTCACAGATACAAGGTGTTTCCTAACATTCAGAGTTAGACAGGATCTGTTTCTATAAAAGAAACCCAGTTTAACTTTCAGTTTCTTTACCAAGTTTTCCACATGGAGCTTAAAAGAGAGATGTGAGTCGACCAAGATACTCAAATATTTATAGTAATCAACAAACTCAATAGGGACACCATTTGAGGATAAATCGGAGGAAGAACAGCTGGGACCAACTTCCTGTTTGAAAAAAGCATTCCTTTGGTTTTGTTTGGCATTTAGGACAAGTTTGAGGTGAAACAAATCAGTCTGGATGTAGTTGAATGCAGATTTCAAAAGCTGGAAAGCCTTAGCAACAGTTTTAGCTCGACAATAAACAACTGTCATCAGCATAGAAATGTATGGATGCATCAGGGATATTTTGACCTACATTACCTATGTAGATTGTAAAGAGGGTGGGTCCTAAAACTGAGCCTTGTGGTACACCATTGTTGACTGTTAAATAACTGGAGGAAGTACCATTATGTTGAACACATTGCCTCCGGTCTGAAAGATAGTTAGAGAACCAACCAATGGTGTGTTCTGAGAAACCAATTTCTGAGAGTTTATGACACAAGATGTTCTGATCCACAGTGTCAAAAGCTTTAGACAGGTCTAAGAAAAGTGCAGCACAATAATCCTTAGCATCCAGTGCTTCAACAACATCATTAAGAACCTTCAGTGAAGCAGTGGTTGTGCTGTGTTGTTTCCTGAAACCAGATTGATGTGGAGGTAAGATGTTAAATGAGTCCAGGTAATTTTTGATTTGAGAGTTTATCAGTTTTTCTAGAACCTTGGCTAAAATGCAGAGTTTAGAGATTGGTCGATAGTTGTTCAGTGAGGTGGGGTCACCTCCCTTCAGCAAAGGAAGAACAAAGGCTGTTTTCCAAGTGTCTGGGATGGAGTTTTGTCTTATGGAGAGATTGAAGATGTGGGTCACAGGGACTGTGATGATATGAGCAGCCAGCCTTAAGAAATAAGGTGGAAGTTCATCTGGACCTGCAGATTTTTTAGGATCAAGACCTTTTAACAGTTTATTAACCTCACTGACTGAGAACGGAGAAAAAGAGAAGGTCAACAGGGGACAACAGTGTGATCCGGAATAAAAATATTTATTATCCAGGTGAGTTTGGATGGAGGCCTGCAGCAACCCCTATGCAAACTCCGAACTTCTCTCGAGCACCACACAGTGCTACTCCTCTGCTTCTCTGCATGTCACCTCCTCACCCGACAGCACGAGAGGCAGCCCCGGTGAAAAACGACGAGATTGACTGGAGAGGCTGAGGTTGAAGTCGTAACTGGTCCGATCCGGTTCTGCTCCAGTCTGGTTCCAGCGGCGCTTCAAAGCATCAGAGTTTCTCCTCCAGGCGAACACAGTGATTCCACGGAGGTGGACAGTCCTTCATTAAAAAGTAATGGGCTGCTCACTAAAGCTGAGACCGGCTCTATTGAAGACGAAGTCCCCCACAGCCAACTCGGTTTGTTTCTGGTCCAGTTCAGGGGACACAGGTACACTTCCCCCACACCAATGAAGACACCACGAGGGCCAATCCATCAGAAAACCAGTGAAATACCACCCAGCGATTCTTGTCGGAACCAGGTAGAACCACAAAGGTCCATATGAGAAGTTTGTTGGTGTTCAGAGAGAGAGAAAAAAAACCGGACCTTCGTGTGACGACTCCCTAGCTCGAGGGGTCACCTGGCCGGCAGGGTGCGCTCAGAGTGACCGGTGGAGTGGGAGCGGCTGGTCCTGGACCAAAATATATATTTTTTGGACGGTCCCGTCTGGCTCTCTGAGTCACTGAACACCGAATTCGGTTGGAAGGGAGACCAACTTTAGTCCGGTTCGAAAAACGGGTCAGTTTGATGATAAAAGACTGCAGAGAAGCCATACCATACCACTTTATTTATAAAGCACTTAAAACAGCTACAAAGCCAACCAAACTGCTGTACAGACAAAACAACAGGTAACACACAAAGCAAAATACAAAATGAGGTAAATCAGAATATAGACAAAAAACGATGCAGATAATGACGACTAACCAGTGTGGAGCGTACAGGATCAAAACACAGATCATCTTGTGTTGAAAGCTATTGAATAG